TTTTTTTTTTTAAGTAACGGACAAGATGATGTAATGTCTACCTTCGGAAGTTCTCAGATGCTTGGGAATTCCCTTCTCTCCCACCCTCTGTTCCCTGACCACATCTTGGGAGGGAAGGCAGTCAGTGACACATTATAAACAACATTTTGCACTGGGCTCCAGCCGTCAGCTCTTCTAATGGGCCTTGGGCAACTGTCCCAGGCCAGATAAGTCACATTAAATGTGAGAACAAGACCAAAGAGATTGGATTTCTTTTTAAATTCGGTGAAAAATGCAGAATGGGTTTCTGGAAGCTGTTAAGATGCTTTTAAAAGATGTCTTGAAAATCACACTCTTAAGCTTGTCTAGTTTTTGAAACTTCTTGAGCAGGTTTTCTGATTTGTCTCAGTAGAAAGTTGTTCTAAATGATGGCATGAAATGTACCCACTCTGGTGTCAGGCAGACAAGAACTAAGAAGCACAAACAGGCTGCTTTCTCCTCAGCAGTGGTCAGCATGGCAGCGTGGAGGCACGGTTGGTTCAAGAGATACCCCCTTAAATGTTACTGTGCCATCTGGGCAGACCCCACACTGAGCAAAGGCAACCCCAATACCACACTAGGAAAACAAAGCCACCAGCAAGAACCAGAAACTAATCACAGCCCTTCCTGGCCATTGCCTCCTGTCAGCATTACCATGGGGGTCTGGGACCCCCTTACAGTATTTTTCAGGGAAAATACATTTGAAATATGCAAATTGAGGTCACTGAACTCAATCAGAAAAAAAAAATTAAAGAAGCTTCTAAGAATAAAGATATTAAATGTAGAAAAATGGACCATTTGCAATGAAAAGAAATCCCAATAGTGTTGGCTTTTTTTCCCCCACAGCACTCTTGTTAGTAATTAATCTTGAAATATGTTTGCAGAGTTCTTGTTTGTTTCAAAGTTAGGAAACAAATGTGTTTCTCTGAAAGAACAAAGCCCATAAATATTTTATGTAAGTGAGAGAAGTGAATTGAATTCATCCCAAGATCATTTGTCATCCACAGTTAGGACAAGAAATCCACTTACTCACATCAGCCTAGCAGTGTCTGCCCGGAAGGTGTATAGAAGCCCAGAATTGAATGATACTCACTTGATTTATTTTTTCTACTCACCCTTTAGCCAATGTTGCTATGCCAACGTCAGTTAACTTCATTCCTACACCTACAGGAAGAGAGAGCAAAGATGGGATCTGTGTACACTGGGCTCCTCAGAAACGACGGGCAATCTGCACAGGAAGGTGGAGTGACAGCCCCACCCTGCTGTCGTTCCATTGCTGTGCACACACAATTTCCTCCCTGTTTCCATAGGAGAGCTTCCTTCCATCAGGCTGACAGCCTTTCAGACATACATGCAGCTTGATGGAATGACAACGAGGGCGGCAGGCCTCTGACCAGCGGAGTCTGGCTCATGGGAGCAGGTGGTGGGGCCCACCAGCTGCTCCATGAATGACTCTGAGGCCTGTTCCTTGTCCCATGACCTCTCTCCCCAGAAAGGCTGGTCTCTGGGCTTAGGTCTGCACCCCATTCTTCCCAGAAAGTGGAAGCTCTTATGTCCTAGAAGGTGGTGTGACTCTGGGCTGGGGTGGGCAAGATCACCAGTGAGAAAGTTCAAGATGGCATTTGTTCAGTTGAAAGGCAAATGCCAGATACACAATTTCCCGTTTCCATGAAGGTAGTTTTCCCATCCAGGACCGAAGATTTTCTGGGTCAGCCTTAGACCAGGGAAACACTCCTGAGTTATATGTAGACTTTTAACCATTGGCCTAGAGATGCTGACATGCTCACCCATGGTGTAACCTTTGATGCTTACCCTAACGTCCATCCATCAAACCACTGGGCTAGGGGGGCTACCAAAGCAACAATATATACCTGAGCTTCCCCCTGGTTCAGCAAAGAGCTGTAGGCAACCCTGCTAGAATCCCAGCACCCAGGAGTTGTTTTGCTTCCGCCTCCCCAGCAGGAGCAGGTGGGAGAGCGGCTGAGGAACCAGGGATGCAAAGAGAATGGAAACTCCCCTGTCTGGCAGGGTGGGGGAAGGGGAAGGGCTGCCATCACCTTCTCCAGCAGTCAAGGGCCTCTCTCACCCTGCCCCTGTCTCACTCCACATCCTTAATCTCTCCCAGGTCTGGACAAAGGCAGCCCTCTCTGCTGCCCAGAGTGGCCTCTGGCCTTTCCAGAATCTCTTTGCCAGACCAGGGACCAACTCAGCTTCCGTCTCTCCTGGGCGGTGGCTATGGACACTTGTTCCAACTCAGCAGACCTCTGCCTCAACCTCACCTATGCAATCCAGTGACAGGCCTTTGATGGCAGGGCGTGGGGTCCAAAGTGCTGACCAACTCCACCAGTCTGTCTGCACCCACTGGAAGACAGGTCTGGGTGCCGCCTCCCCTTGGCCCTGACTCCTGTCCAACCCAGCCCAGGCTGTGACTGCTGTATTCCCCGAGGGGCCTGGGAGCACCCAAACCAGCCTGTGGATGAAAGAAGCAGCGTCCTCCCCAAAGCCAGCCCTGAGGTTAGACCTGATGGCGACCTGGCATTGTCGGTCTGCACTCCTGTGAGGGCTGTTTTCTGAGGCCCGGGAAAGGAAAGCTAAAGGGTTAATGCTCTGAGTCAGCAGTGCCTGCCTGGAGTGCATCACAAATACAGGTCACACTGCTATTCAGGCTGGTCAGTCAGACAGAAGCAATGAGCCCCGCTTTTCTGCAGTGCACCTGTGAGCTAAATTAGACCCGGCACTTTGGGTGAGCCAGTGAGCATTCTAAAAGGCTCTTTCAGAGTTAACAACTAATTCATCTCATTCTTCCAAATCTGCTAACAACTAGAACATATGCAGAAATGCTTCATGTAGCTTTTATTATAGGAACTGTGCTTTAAGAAAAAAAAAAGGCACCAAATTGCAAAGGCCCTCTTTCCTTGGACATCCTGTTTTGTGAAAAGTTGTATTTAAAAACCACAGCTCAAAGCTGCCTAGAAGTTCAGTTTTAAAGTTGTTTGGCAAAAGGTCCTTGCACTTGGGAGCTGCCTTTCCTTGCTTCTCACAATTACCAGCTGTCACTTACAGTTTGGATAAATGGCATACATCTTTTAAAAAGAAAAATAAAAAATTTAAATTAAAAAATTAACAAAAAATAAAACTAGGTTAGTAAGGGCCTCTATAGAATAATAATTTAAATCCTAGTGTGCAGCTGTCATATGGAATTGGGGGTCATAGTCATCTACAGGATGTTTCTCATGGAAGGAGGGAAGTGGGCAGCATGAGGAGCCAATTCTCCAGAACTGGAGTTCCTGAGTCTGATGGGTGATAGTTCTCAGGAAGCCTAGTGGTTTCACCAGTGTGCAGCTCTTAGGGCCCAGTCACAGGCCTGGCCTTCACCCCTCAAACCTGCAGAACCTGTCACAATCCTATCAACAAGCAAACGCAGCCAGGGAAGGTGACTTTCAAGTGTCTGAGAATGTAATAGCTGGGTTTGTATTTGCTCATTTTTTCGATCCTAGCTCCAGTGTCTCAGTAGAAGTGTAAAATGTGGAGATGATTTTAGATGTATTGTCTTGTGCCACAGTGAGAATGACAACAGATTCTTCCCAGCTGCAGAGACACCATTATGGTGCATGGTGCCAATGCATGAAACCCCACGCGTCATGTACAGAGAGATGAACATTCCACGCCAGTGTTTACTAGAGCCTGGATGCTTGAAGCTCAGGGGTGCGGCTTTGCAGTAGAACTGTACTTGATGCGGAAGTAACACTTTAGCAGAAGAGATGGGGGTGGGGCATCAGCAACTTCCCAGCCATAGTGTAATTGGAATAGAGAGTTGTGTGTTAAGACCATATTTTTTTGTTGGGGGAGGGGAGGGATGGCAGTGAGGTCTCTTCAGAAAGTGAGCAGAGAGGACTGCCTTCCATTTGCAGACAGGCTGCTCCTCCAAGACTATAAAATTGCACTTCCCAGCTGGCCTTCAATGAATCCCTCACGGGAGCCTATACCATCAAAAGACACTTGAAATCTCTTGCAAATTTGTAAATCTGTGGTTTAAGTGGAAAGAGCTGGGGGTTCAGGGTCAGAAATCATGGGTTAGAGTCTTAGACCCCTCTGCTCATTGGCTGAGTGACAGCAGGCAATTACATCAGTCTCTGAGCCTCTGTTTGCTCATCTCTTAAATGGGGATCATAATATCTTCTTTGCAGGGTCACAGTGAAGGCTAAACAAACATTACAGGAAAAAATGAGAACATACAAAAGCTAGTGAAATCCAAGGAAGGTCTGTGGTCTAGTTAATTATATTGTGTGCCAATGTAAACCTCCTGGTTTTGATAAGGTACGACAGTTATGTAAGATATTATCATTAGGTGAAGCTACGTAGAGGGTATACATGAGGACC